CCGCAGGTGGGTTCGCGGTGAAGGTCTACTCGTGGCCACGCCTAGTAGACCCGAAGCCCTAAGCCCTAATCCCTAAGCCCCGAACCCTGCCCCCTAAGCCCCGAACCCTAATCCCTAAGCCCCAAACTCTAATGCCCTAAGCCCCGAACCTTTAAACCCTAAACTCTAAAGCCCTGAACCCCTAGCCCTGATCCCTAAGCCCTAGGCCCCAAACCCTAAGCCCTAAGCCCCGAACCCAAGCCCCTGAGCATCGAACCCTAAAGCCCTGAACCCTCAGCCCTAAGTCCCGAACCCTAAGCCCTAAGCCCTAAAACCGAAGCCCTGAGCCCCAATCCCTCAGCCCCGAACCCTAATCCCTAAGTCCCGAACCGTAAAGCCCTGACCCCTAGGCCCTAAGCCCTAATCCCTAAGCCCCGAACCCAAAAACCCTAAGCCCCGAACCCTAAAGCCCTGAACCCTAAGCCCTAAGCCCCGAACCCTAAGCCCCGAACCCTAAAGCCCTGAACCCTAAGCTCAGCTCTTGAGGAGACGAGGGGAAGAAGAGCGGGAGGACGCGAAAGGGAGCACAGGGGAAGATGAACGTTCGGATCTAGGTTCAGATCGGACGGCGCCGAGGTTCGGAAGCTCAGGAGCGAAGACGAAACCCAAAGATCGGGCATCGCTGCTGCAGGTTCAGAGACGCAGCGCCGGCGAGAGCCCCTTTTGCATGTGGAGGTCGGTTCGCCAGAAATCCACCCCGAGCCCCTCTTCCCCTTTCCCCGCGCCCTTCCCTCTCCCCATGCGCCCCCCCGCTCTCTGGCCCACCGCCCGGCGCAGTGCGTGTGCGGGGGGGGCCTTCTCCAGCGCCAGGGGGGGGGGGGGGGGGTGGCCCGGGCGGCGGATCGGGGAAAAAAAAGGCGGGGGGGTTCGACGACCCCCCCCCCCTCCACAACTACCGGGTAAACCGCTCGGCCAGCCAGCGCGGCGAAGAAGATCGAGGAGCAGAAGAAGGGCCGTTCGTTCTTCTTTCTCCCTATCTGTTTTTCTTTGTTTCTTTCCCTCTCTCTCTCTATATATATGTATTTCTTTGTTCGTTCTCTCTCTCTCTGTCTTTATTTATTTTTATGGTCTATGTGTTTTGTTTCTTGTTTGTTGATCTCTCTCTATATGTATCTCTTTTTGGTTTTAGTATTATTATTATTATTCTTCTTATTATTATTATTATTCTTAATTGTTTGTCCTCTCTCTCTCTCTCTCCCCTCTCTCTCTCTCCCCTCTCTCTCAGCGCCGATCAGTAAGTCTGAATGCGTATTCGACGCTGGCGCCAAACAGTGCGTCCTAGCAGACCAGGTGATATGATGCATGTGGTACAAGCTATGCGGTGCCATCTACGCGATGCAAGCTATGTGATGAACGCTATGCCGAGCACGCTACGTGGTACAATTTTTGCGGTGCGATCTATGTGGTGTAAGGTACGTGGTGCAGTTTATGCCGCGGGGATTTGCGTGCTCATCCATGTGGTGTCCTATGAGGTGTAAGCTACGTGGTGCCATATGCGTGACGCGATCTATGGGGCGTGGGTTTGTTGCTTCGCCCCCCCTCAGACCCCCGATATGATGCTCGAGAGCGCGCGGTGGGCTCCCGCGGGGGCCCAGGCATATCACCAATATAATAAGAAGGCAGGTGCCGCGCCCGCTGGGCCCCTCGCGCGCCAGACTGAATCCGCGCCCCCTCTGCTGGCGCGAGCGGCCGCAAGGTTTGCAGGCCGCCTGCTCCACCCTCGACGTCCTCCACGAAGCCCCCGAAGGCCATCGCAAAGCCCCTGGGTCTGGCTCCCGCCCTGCCGCCCCGCACCTCGGCGTCGATGCGGGCGGCCGCGGCCGCCGAGCCCGAGCTGTGCACTCGGCCAGCGCGCCCAGCCAGAGGGCCCGCCACCGCCCGCGCCCCCGCGCCTAGCGGGGGCGGCCTCGAGGCGCTGCCAGCAGCTCCGCCAGCCAGAGGCACCGAAGGTGCCTCGACCAGCTCCGCCGCGGCCGCTCCGCCCAACTCATGGGCAGGGGGCGCCCGCGCCCCAGCAGCCGCTCCGCCAGCTCCACGAGCCAGCTCCGCCGCCGCCGCGGGCTCCCGCCTCCCACTCCGCCGCGCCCGGCGCGTCAAGGCGTCCGCTCGCTCGTTGGATTCGCAGTTCGACATGCCCATGCGTGGCGCCTCGGGCGCCGCCCCCGCCGTCGGCGCGAACGCCAGGCCCGCGCGCGCGACCTCGGCAGTCGCAGCAGCGCCAGCCACCGCAGCGGCAAGGGGGGCCCTCCGCCGCCTCGCCGAACACCTCGTCGTCCATGTTGTCGCCCTCGCCCGGCCTTGCAGCGTCAGCATCCGCCGCGCGATGGGGCCGACGGCCGTCGCCTGCAGCCCCAGCCCCCGCGCGCCCAACCCGACGCGCCTCTGTGGCGGCGGCGCCTGCGCCGCTCCGCCTTCGCCTCCGCTGCGAACTCAGGATCTCGAACGCGAACTTCTCGGCGAGCCCCCGCAGCTCCGACGTCCGCGAGCGGCCCCGACCGCGGCGCCGCAGCATGGCATGTTTCAGACACTGCGGCTCGCGCCGCCGCGGCCGCCGTGCGCCGCGGCGCTCTGGCTTCCTCCGCTGCGCGAACTGCGGCCGCCACGAGTGCGGCCCCGTCCGCGCCAGCCAACGCTCCTTCTAACACCGCGCGCGCGGCCGTCGCGCGGAGGCGGGCGGCCGACGCGAAGGCGTGCGATCGCTTGGGCCAGCATGGCTTGAGCCCGAATGGCTACGGTCTGTGGGGTGCGAGCTACGCGGTGCAATCTACGTGTTGCAATGACTTTATGTTCGCAGTGACTGGTCAACTCCACTGCTCGCGCAAGCGCCCCGCCCACCCGCCCGCAAGTTGGTTTGCTAACCTCATGCGGCGGCGATTGCGATGAGTGGGCGGCGCTGGCTGGCGCATCTCCGCGGCCGCGCCAGCCCGCGCATGCGCGCGCGCAGCGGCCAAGTAGTTTGGCGCGACGGATGCGGCCGCGGTGGTGCTGACCGCTCGGCACATCCAGGCGGGCACTTGAGTGCGAGTCGGCGACTTGGGCGGGCGCGGTATCATGGCGACGTCGACAATTATAGACACGATGCCGATGATCCTAGTAGCGATGTTGGTGGCGATACTGGCAGCGACGGCGGCACGGCAAGTGACGGCGCTGATGCCGATCACGCCGACGACGATGTCGGCGTCTTCGCGTCGGTGATGAAGGCATCGAGGGGAATTCGAAATGTGCGCGCGGCAGACGCGCGCGAGTGGCTCGCATGGTATAGTTTGACACGGAATGTGCCACCCCAGCACGCGCGCAAGGGCGTTCGAACGGCGCGCGAAGCCCGTTGGTAGCATTTTATGAACATGTCGAGCAACTTATGGCTATCTCAAAAAATCGCAAGAGCGCGCGAGTACGCTGTTGCTGAAACTCTGTGTTGCGACACCTTGTGTTTTTGGTATGTTGTTTGGACACTCGACTTTGAAATCCTTCCGAGGCCGAACGTTTTTGGAGGAGTTCGGCATGCGCGCGCGACGACGCGCGCGCGCACTTTGTTCAATTTGTTGCAGAGGATTCTCGCGACGGCACGCGCGCGAGGGCATTGGAACGATTTCGACTTGCGCGCGCGAAGCCCGTTTGGTAGCATGTTCTGAAAACAAAAAAACGATACTTTTCTTAAGAATTCGCCAGAGCGCACGAGCATGTTTTTTTTGAGAATCCGTGTCGCGAAACCTTGTGTTTTTATATGTTTTCGGACACTCGATTTTGAAATCTGTCCGAAACCGAAGGGTTTTGAAAGAATTCGGCATGCGCGCGCGACGACGCGTGCGTGTGCACTTCGTCCCATTTTGTGCAAGGGATTCTTGAAAACTTACGACGTTTGATAAACGAGCGTGCGCGCATAGAATTGTTTGCAGAGGATGGCGGGGGGGCCGATACCGGCCTGGCTGGGACAGTATGGATTCACAGGTAGGATGGACTTTGGGTCAGAATCCTATGTGTTTTGCATGGGTTCCAAGGGGATTTTTACCCCGGGGGGGGAGGGTGGTAGAACCTATCTCTTTTTAGAAAAGGAGAATACATGTGGTGCCATCCGTGTGGCGTAGGCTATGCGATGGAATACGCGCAGTGCAGTTTATAGGGGTGCAAACTATCGTGGAGCAATATATGCTGTGCAAAACGTGTGGTGTGAGCTATGATGTGTAAGCTGTGCAGTGCTATGCAAAACAATGCCCAACAATGCCAAGCCGTGCAAAGCTATGCAACGCAATGCGACGCAGTGAGAAACTGTGCAAATCAATGCCAAGCACTGCAACGCAAAACAATGCACGGAAGAGCAATGCAAAACAACTGCATGCAAACCAGCACACATCAACGCGAAGAAAGCACTGCAACACAAGGTTATGTAATGCAGCGTAGCGCAAAGCAATGCGACGTAACGCAAAGCAATGCGAAAAACTACAAAGTATTGAAACGCAGTGAACTCAGTGCAGCGCAATGCTAAACAATGCAGAACATAGCATCGCACAGCATAGCAATGGAAGACGCTCAGCATCGATGTAAAACATTGTCATGCAATGCGATTGCAAACCAATGCGACTGCATTGTAACCGCGCAACACAAGAGCTGCGCTGGTCAGGGTCTCCTCAAGCTGCGACCTCCGTGCGGCGAGCACGAAGGCTGGCCACAATGTACCAAACACCTCGCCTTTGCCATGCCCACCGCCCCGGTATTGCTGAACTAACGTTGTGCACGGTCCTCCGCTTTCAGACTTTCCATCATGAGGGTGTCATCCTGTCAGACAAATCTGCTCGCGGGTGTTGCTGAGTAAGCCAGAGGAGGAGGTGAGAGGCCTCGGTGTTGCCTCTTCCTCCTCCCCATCCTCAATGCGCTGCTGACAATAGCAAGCTAGGCAGCGCCAGGGATTCGCACGCTCCCACGTCAGAACGACAGCTGGCAATGGCGGCGGCACTCGTGTGAGCCTTGCCCTCCGACTGCTTCTCCGCGGCGTCGTAGGCCTTCGCAAGGGACGGGAGAGACGTGAACACGGAGACAACGAAAAGAGAGCTGATGTGCAGAGAATGGTCGGAATGGATATGGGCAAGGGAAGCTGTGAGAGGCAACAGAGGCGAGGCGAAACCGCGGGGGGTGAATAGTTAGGCCTGGGCGCCCACGATGCGACCCCGTGTCGCTCCAGCCCCGCTGAGTGGCGCCACCAAATCCATGCGTTCATCTAAACATGCCTCTCCGCCGACCAACACATCCGCGACCATTTGTGGCTAAGCGTGTGACACTGTTCCCCCCCATCCCCCCCCCCAAGGACTCCAAACCTGGAATTGGACCCCCCGCCCTCCGGCCCCGCTCGAACGCGCCATGGTGGGATAAGATGGCTTCAAAACGGGCCAAGAGGGCTCCAAAACGCCCCCTAAGACGGTCCCAGGAGGCGTCGAATCGCCGAAAGACCGATCCCAGACGTCCAGAATAGCTTCCAAACGACTCAAAATGCCGCCAAGACGCCCGCAGACGGCTCCAGAAGGCCTCTCGAGAGGGCCTCACGAAGCAGTATTCACCGGTGTTCCTTCAATTTTTCTGGCCTTCTGGCCTTCTCGCCTTTTCGAGTTCCCGCCGCTTCAAGACTGCCCCAGAGGCCCCCAATATCGCCCCAAGATGTCCCAAGAGGCCATCAAGAGGACCCCAAAACGGCCCAAAAAGGCCCACAGATGGCCAACAAGGCCTCCAACACGGCCCAAGAGAATCGTTAGAACGGAGAGCGAAAAGATCAGGATCCTTGATGTTGCTGCGCGTGGAGTCGACGTCTGCCACAGAGACCCACATTAACTTGGGTAAAAGCCCTCTAGCGCCGTACCCAGTAAGCAAGACAAATCTCGACTCCGCCACCTCACGCTCGGCAAGGTCCGAGGGCACGAGGAGTGGAGGAGGGGCGATTTCTCGAAACACATGGCAAAGTATGTACGTACATCGACGTCCTTTTTCGGCTCCGTATCCTCCCTCCTCATCCTCCTCCTGCCTCCTCCCTCCCTCTTCCTCCTCCTCCTCCTCCCTCCCTTCTCCCACCCATCCCTCCCTCCCTCCTTCCCTCCCTCCCTCCTCCTGGAACGCGCACCTCGACCTCGTGGGGGGCAAGGTCCTGCGGGCCCCGGCCCGCGCGATCGCGCAGGCGCCTTCTCCTGCGTTCTCCTCTGGAGCACCCGGGCCTGCAGCTCCTGCCAAGGCGCCCGCGGGCCGCTGCTGCTCCCTGCCCCCTCCTCCCTCGTCCCTGTCCTGTCCGGCCCCTCCCGGGCCCTCCCCCCTCTCCCCCTCCTCCCCCTCCTCCCTCTATCACCCCCTCCCCCTCCTCCCTGCATCTTCCTCCCTTCATCCTCCTCTTCCTCCTCCTCCTCCTCCTCCTCCTCCTCCTCATCATCATCATCATCACCATCATCACCACTATCATCAGCAGCATCATCATCTACATCAGCATAATCATCCTGATCCTGATCCTGATCCTCACCATTACCAGCACCACCATCATCAGCACCACCATCATCATCACCACCATCATCACCACCATCAGCATCATCATCACCAGCACCACCATCATCATCATCATCAGCAGCAGCAGCAGCAGCACCACCACAACCAGCATCATCAGAAGCAACATCAGCATCATCATCACCACCACAACCAGCATAATCAGCAGCAACAGCAGCAACATCAGCATCATCCACATCATCGTCACCATCATTACACCACCAACACAACCATCACCATCACCATCACCATCACCATCACCATCACCATCACCATCACCATCACCATCACCATCACCATCACCATCACCATCATCATCATCATCATCATCATCATCATCATCATCATCATCAGCAACAGCAGCAGCAGCAACAACAGCAACAACGAGAGAACGTGATCCACCACCGCTTTACTATGGAAAATTCCCCCCCTCTTTCTCCGTAACCCGGGGATCCCCCCCCTCCGAAAATCCCCCCTCCCCCTGCTGGAACCGCCCGCCCCCCTCCCGGCACCCCCGCCCCCCCACCCCCTCCCCCCCCGAAAAACAGGGGGAGGCCACTACCGGTTCGACCCCCCCCCCCTTTGGAAAACCAGGGAGGGGGTCTCTACCGGTTCGAGGGGGGGGGGTCTCTACCGGTTCGAGCCCCCCGACCCCCCCCCTCCGGAAAACCGGGGGGGGTCACTACCGGTTCGAACCCCCCCCCTCCAGAAAACCGTGTCGCTACCACCGTCCTCACCACATCCCCAACCTGCTGTCCCCAGCACCACTGTCCTCACCACCGCTGTCCCCACTGTGCTCCCACCACCGTCCCCACTGTCCCCACCAGTGCCCCAACCACTGTCGCACTGTTCCCACTGCCCCCACCACTGTTCCCACCACGGTTCCACTCTCCCCACTCCCCCCACGGCCCAACTACTGTCCCGCTGTCCCCACTATCCCACTGTCCCACTGCCCCCGCCGCTGTCCCACTGAGCTGTCCCCCTGGTCCCCACCACTGTCCCCACTGTGCCTCTGTTCCATTGTCCCACCGCCGTCCTCGCCACCGCCCTCACCACTGTCCCCACCACCACTGTCCCCACCACTGTCCCACTGTCCCCACCACATTCCCACTGTCCCCACACCACTGTCCCCACCACCACCGTCCCCACCACTGTGTCCCTGTACCTGTCCCCACTGTTCCCACCATTGTCCCCGCTGTCCCCACCAGTGCCCCCACCAGTGTCTCACTGTCCCCACTCTCCCCACCATTGTCCCACCACGGTCCCACTCTCCCCACTTTCCCCACGGTCCCCACCGCTGTCCCACTGTCCCCACTGTACCCACCACTGTCCCACTGTCCCCGCCGCTGTCCCACTGTGCTGTCCCACCATCCCCACTGTCCCCACCACTGTCCCACTGTCCCCACTGTCCCCACCACTCTCTCCACTGTACTACTGTCCCACCACTGTCCTCACCACCGCCTTCACCATTGTCCCCACCACTACCGTCCCCACCACTGTCCCACTGTCCCCACCACTGTCCGGCTGTCCCCTCACCTGTCCCCACCACCACCGTCCCCACCACTGTCCGCACCACTGTCCCACTGTCCCCGCACCACTGTCCCCACCACCACAGTTCCCACACTGTCCCAGTATCTCCACCATTGTCTAACTGTCCCGAGGAGCGGGAATCGTTTGCCGGCGGCGAAGGGGGGGGGTCTCGAACCTGTAGGCCCCAATTTTCGAGGGGGGGGGTTCGAACCGGTAAGAACCCCCCCTTTTCATGATGGACTGGGGAGGGGGGGGGGTGGATGGATCGGGAACCCCCAGTGACCCCCCCGGTTTTCCGCCAGCAGCGGTAGAACACGCTCTTTCTCATCAGCCAAAGCAGCAGCATCAGCATCATCATCATTATTAACCAGCAGCCACCATTCATCAACAACGAACTCACTAATCACCAGTCATCCTCATAACCAACATCTTCACCATCATCACCACCAGCATCATCATAATCACCGTCATCACGATCATCCGTATCATCATAATTATCATCAGCATCATCATCAGCATTAGTAATGCTGTTAGTAGTTTCGTCAATCTTATTATGCTTATCCTTACGATTAGCTAATTAGTATCATTACTGATATGTTGTGTTTCGATTATTGTCCTCCTTATCAATATTTGAATCATGATTCACCTCATCATCCACTACTTCTGCCCCTCCCTCTTGCCGAACTACCTCCCGCGTCTTCCAATAACTACCCTAGCCAACAACTCTTCCTCCAACCAACTTCTCCCCCTCTCTCTTTTCCTTCCAACTCACGCTTGTCTTCCTCCTCCTTTCTTCCTCCTCCATTCTTATTACTAGCCGGCCGCTCTGCGGTTGGTCGGGAATTTCTGTATATAGAAGAAGGGGCGTGTGCTTTGGGCGAGAGGAGAATGAGCAGGAGTCGGTGGTGCCGCGGGTGAGGATGAGGGTGAGGATCAGGAGGGCGAGGCTCGCGAGGGTGAGGATCAAGAGAGTGAGGGCCACGCGGGTGAGGATCAGGCGAGTGTGGAGCAAAAGGGTGAAGATGTGGAGAAAGGGGCCTGACTTTCTCGTTGGGAGGACGTCTCGAGCGACTGTCCCGGACTGGGACACGCCCAATGCGTCCCGGCATACCCTGGCGCGCGCCGGCAGATTTCCGGAAATGGTCCCCAGGGGCGCTGTGGGCCTGACTTTCTCGCGCGCCAAGGCTCGACTTTGGGAGGATGTCTCGAGCGGAGAGAACGCGTGTCGTGGACCCGTGCGTGGAAAAAACACCTTGACACGTTAGAACCGGGGGGGGCGCACCCCCGGAGAAACGGAGGGGGCCCCCCCCTGCAGCCTCCCTCACCAGGGGAGAAGGGCCCCTTTCTCCAAGGGGGGGGAGCTCAGCAAGAACATCCAGAGGGAGATCTGCAAGATACACCGATCTTGGAATGCCAGGCGCGCGTATCAGAAATAATACGTTCAGGGGAAGGCTTAGGAAGAATACCGCACATCAAGCAAAGAGGATAACGGAACTTGACGCATCAATGGTATATTCAGCAGGGATGGAGCACGCAGACAGACAATACATAGCTAATGTGTGTTTCTCATTTGTATGCGGATTTGCACGCATCCCAGCACGCATTAGGATGCGAAGCATATTGACCTGTTGCCTTGGACGTCGTGGGAGTCCAGCTCTTCACATAGGACGAGCTCTGGGAAGCAGTGCGACAACTCAAGTGTGGCAAAGGCAGGACACGGCTGAATAGTTGCTGGAAAACAAGTGGACAACCTTTGGAGAACGTGTCGTTGGCTGTGATCAGATTTTGGAAGATCCGAAGAAGGCCCCAACATAATGGAAATAATCTCAATGTTGTTCAAAACTGGTGACCCGACGTGATCGCCAAATTACAAGCCAATAGCCATTCTACAAATTATGTATCCGCCGGCCCGCTTGCGGGGCCACCAGGCTGCGAGGGTGAGGATTGCAGCTCTCTGTGCCAGTTGCAGTTTCCAGTTTCCACTGTTTCAGTCCTGTTTTCTACTTCCTTACTGTTGGGAGCCCCAAACCAGCTTTTTTACCACGCCCAAATCGCGTTGTCTGAATTCCTGGGGGGGGCATGGCACACTTCAAAATACATGATGTTCGCGTCCCCGAGGCCATGATCCCTAGTAAATTACACTATATTCGCGTCCCCGAGGCCATACACCCTCGTAAATTATACGAGATTCGCGTCCCCGAAACCATAATCTCTCGTAAATTACGCAATGTTCGCGTCCCCGAAGCCATCAACCCTCGTGAGTTACACAATATTCGCGCCCCTGCGACCATAAACCCATGCACAATACTGAATATTCGCGACCCCGAAAAACATAAACCTTTTGAAAACGAATAAGGTTCGCGTCCACAAGGCCATCACAAACCCTCGCAAAATATACAAGATCCGCGTCCCCGAGGCCAGAAACCTTTGTAAACTAAGCAATAGTTGCGCCCCCGAAGGCATAGACCGTCATAATTTACACAATAGTTGTGTCCCCGAGGCCACAAACCCTACGCAATATTCGCGCCCCCGAAACCATAAACCATAGTAACTTACATAAGATTCGCGCCACCGAAGCCATAAACCCTCGTAAATTAATATTGGCACTCGCGTGAAGTCCCGACATTGCTTCACGTTAGCGCCCAGGCATCCCAACACAGCTCTGGCAAATTCCATTCTAAGCGAGGAGGGCCGGCGGCATGGGGGCGAAACCCTAAAGGCTAAGCTAGTTGCCCGGCTCCTTGCCCAGAGATTGGAGAAGATCTTAGGGCCTCTTAGGGTCTTAGGCAAGGAACAGGCGCCTGACCTAACTGGAGTTCTACTCGATTAAAATATGGTGGACCAATTGTGGACAACAACTAAAATACAATTAAAAACAAGAGGATGGGACCTCCCGGCGAGATTTGCTGCGCTTGACTTTAGAAGACTTTCGGCAATGCGGAGCACAAATGGATACGCAAGGCGCTTCAAAGGCAAGGTGTACCGAACGTTTACGTGAGCTTGTTCTCGGATATTCAGATCAACGTAGTTGTGTCGCACAGACAACATGAACAAACCCTTCTCTCTACGACAGAGAACCAAACATAATGAGCGTCTGAACTCAATGCTTTTCGACGCCGTCCTGGAATACGTGTTCCGGGAGGTGGAGGAGAAGTGATCGCAA